TTGGAGCTGGCTCTGATGTCTCTATAGTGGTTAAACATGAGATATAATTCGTTTTGGGTAAATCTGATGGGCAGTCTTTGGTCTTATTAATCTATTATTTGTTCCAGAGCAAATAGTTTCGGCTGAAGGCAAAATCTCATCACGTTATATTTGAACTTTAATGTTGTATATTAGAGCATGGCTTTTATGATGGCTGTTGTTGTTGTTTATTATTCAATAAATAATATTTTATAGTAGTATTTAGAATTGGGAAACAGTGTGTGTGTTCGTGATTTTTGTGACATTGTTCCACCATTAGATGGCGACAAGATACTGTTTTATGAGTCAGCATTTAAGACTTTTATATTGAAAGAGACTGAAATGGAAGTCATTTTTACTTTTAAATGCAGTGAGCAGTGCTGTCATCAGAAATCACCCTTAACAGATGAAAGGACAGTATAACAAAGATATTGCTTTCCTCAGCGGACATTCAAACTAATGTTTTATTGTGAAGATGAGATTGAACTGATGACTGAATGCTGTATCAGATGCAGGTAATCACACTCGCTCAGTCCATCTCTCTCTCACAATACTCTACATAATACAGTGAGCTTTTAATTAAGTAATAAAAATAAGTTTTTAATGAAGCAACTCAACGTTCCTTCGTTACTTTCGGTAGTTCTAAAGGGAATTAGTAATGGAGGCTTGAACTCAGCTGTTAAACTGTCAAACTGAGATTTAAATATGTGGTGGAAGGAAATAGTTCTGCACAAAAGGTTTTTTAAAGACACTCCATTGTTGTTTTTCTTATATATTTACACTCGTGACGTCAAACTGTTGTATAAACGCAATATCACTCTTGTACTCGAGCGATACCGGCTCTATATCAGTGGCTGTGATTGCCTCTGGCCTAATCACAGCCATGCTGATATAGAGCCGGTGTTCTGAAATATTCGGTGTCCGAGATTTTCGGTGATGCTGGTCGGAGCATACAGGAATATTCATGAGTCTCCTGTTTCGTGTTTCGCCACTGAAAATATCAGTTCACTCTAGGATCATCACCACACAGTAAGTTTTACATAATGCAATTATGTTTCAGCAACAGCGGTGATCTAGCTAGTTTTGTTCATCTGAGCACAATAGTTTGTAGATTGTATTATATGTTATGTTTGCTTTCATGATTACAACCATTGATTTGCCTGCCTATCATTAGGATACGCTCCTGGTAAATGAGCCAGCAGCCATTAAGTATGTTATATACATGTGTTTTAAACCCTTTCTAGGGTCTTTTAAACTTTCATTTGATAACTTGTATGCAAATATCTGAGGTGGCATACAGATCTGATACAATATCTTTTTTTTTGCTTGTTCAGCTAGTAAATAACAGATTTTAGTAATTAGATAGCGAAAATCATTTCACATGATTTAAGTAGTTAAAGTAACATACCACATATTAATTTGCACAGTTACTTCTGTAAAGAAATTAAGTTATAATGCTGAATACATTAAAGACATCAAATGATTTGCTGTTAAGTTTTATTTACAAATGTTTATGTGGACAAGACATATTGGGGAAAAAAATGAAACACTTTAAATAGGGCCTTGACATACCAGACAAATAAAATGTGCCTCCAAACTTGGCCTGCTTATGCAGTCCCAGTGGTACCAGCCGTTGCAAGAGTTGCATGCAATCTAAACAAAATCAGATTTCTGTCATGACAATTCTCTGAGGGATTGGCATGGTAATGTACATGACGATGTTAATGTATTTGGTCTTGGCAGAATAGATCTGCTACGCTGCTGCTGCGGCAGAGCAAGTACCAAGACTTGCTACTGCCAATACATCCACAACAATCTGCTGTAAGCATGTAAGATATACTGCTGCTGCACATAACACATATAAAAATACCCCCATATAGCATACATGAATCACCCCATAGCAGATCTATACAAGTGGAGCTGGGGAAGGTGGAGGGTATCTGAAGTGCGCTGTCAAACTGCTACAGCAAACAAAAGCCAGGTATTTGAATATTGAGCAGCTAGCTCATTGGCTACCAATACAGGAGAGAGCCAATCAGCTGCTATGTGACAATGATGTCGCCAGGTCAGATTGAGCTAGACCTATCGGACTGCGCCAACTAGAGTTTCATGCCAGAACTCTGTATTTACAACACATGAATGTGTACGGTAGTGCAACTTTAAAATACACTGTAGTGTTTATATATAATAATATAAATAATAATAATCTAACATACCCAAGTGTCTACCTGGTCTGGTGTGTGGGGTTATTGTTCTCCACAAGCCAGGCACAGATTATCCAGAGGTTCTGTGGAAGGTAATCAAGGTGACATTATATTCTTTATCACATGCGTAATACATCATCCCTTTTTAAAATAATGAAGAAAAACCTGATTCATTCAGAAGGCATAGACCCAGGTCTTCACTCATCTGGGGGGGGGGGTTGTTTGCTTGGGTTAACAAGTATAATGCAATTATAAAAACAATTGTTACAGCTACTGACCTTAAAACAAAAAACCCTTTTTAAAATAATGAAGAAAAACCTGATTCATTCAGAAGGCATAGACCCAGGTCTTCACTCATCTGGGGGGGGGGGTTGTTTGCTTGGGTTAACAAGTATAATGCAATTATAAAAACAATTGTTACAGCTACTGACCTTACACACAAACACCCCACATCAAGTGGCATCTGGTTGTAGGCTGTGTGGTAATGTGACACACTTCCATGTGGCACCCTTGAAACCCTCTTTTGTCCATGAATCCCCTTTTATTGAAGAAAGAAAAATTTGTATAAAACTTATAAACCATTACCTGATGATGGTTCTTCATTTCTCACCTCACAACCTTAAGGCAGTGGGCAACTTTCCTGCTGTCTTCACCACAGGAGTTCATAAAATGACCTTTCCTTCCTTAGCATATATTACCTGGCAAGACATTGCATTTAACTTTCAATCTTAAAGGGGAAAAAAAAAATCCACTCTCTTATAGTGTAATAGAACAACAGACATCATAGAATGAAACAAACCAGCAGTGTCAAGTGGTCACCCTCATTTACAGAGCCCACCAGCAAATCATATACCTGCAGATTAATCTATGGGTACACAGACAATTACAGATGAAACATGGACATTTATGATAATCATATCAAAATAAGCAAGCTTGTTTACCTTCTTCATTTCAGTGGCCTTGCCATTCCACAGATTTGTCATTTGAAATTAATCGATGACAAATTCCTTTCCTGCATACCTGCTTGCTATGCAAGTGAGGTATGCATTGATAACCTGAACAACAAAGTGGTTCAATCATTTGTCAGTTCCACACTTGTTTAAAAAAGCATTATGATAAAGTCCAAATGAATGAAGAATTATTAGGAATTGTGTGAAGACTAGCTTACCTCACTCTCAAGCTTCTCCGCAGGTTGGAGGCGCTCAAGATCCCAGGTAAATATTTTATATGGACCTATTTTGCTCCACAGTCTCCCTCCTACTTTTCCTGCTCAGATGTCTTATAATACTGAAGATAGTAAAAAAAAAAAACACTAATGATAATAGAATGTTGTTCTCTTTACATAGGGTTTAAAAGGTGGATACATACAATCACTGCAAGGTACAGCTGAGGAGGCCGCAGGCTGGGGGGCACCAGAGGAGGCTGCAGGACAGGGGGCACCAGAAGAGGCCGCAGGCTGAGGGGCAGGACATACAGTAGAAAGTTTTGCAGGGAAAGTTTAACTGGCAGGGTGACAGGATAGATCAATGTGAGAGCTGGGGGCTGGATAGTTGGCAGGGTGGTATGAGGGACTGAAAAAGTTGTGGAAGGGAAGGATGTGGTTGTGATGGGTGAGGTGACCTTGGGAGCTTTTAGTGGAAGATCTTCTAAAAAGTGTAGCAGGTGATCAAGGTTTACTCTGGGAAAAAGTTTGCCATGGTCATCCACAATGTCTATGCTTTTGCCATCAACTTTAGTGACAGTTTATGGGCCCAAAAAATCAGGATCCAATTTGCCCCCCTTTCTCTGCTGACTTCTTTTGTTTTGCCTCAGGACTCTGTCCCCAACCTGCATGACAACAGCCTCTCCTTGATCCAGTTTCCTCTTTCTTATATTTTATTATTATTATTTTTTATTTTTTTTGCACCTGTGCCATATTCTCCTGAACAATATGGTACAACCTGTCTTGCCGTTTAATACATTCAGAAATGCATTCCTCTGCAATCATTTCCTCCACACTTTAATTGATCTACAGTAAAGAGGAAAATTGTGCTTACACATTGAAAAAAATACTGTAATAGAAAAATGTTCAAATGTGCCTCTCCTTGATCCAGTTTCCTCTTTCGTATATTTTATTATTATTATTTTTTATTTTTTTTGCACCTGTGCCATATTCTCCTGAACAATATGCTACAACCTGTCTTGCCGTTTAATACATTCAGAAATGCATTCCTCTGCAATCATTTTCTCCACACTTTAATTGATCTACAGTAAAGAGGAAAATTGTGCTTACACATTGAAAAAAATACTGTAATAGAAAAATGTTCAAATGTTTAGCTTTAGTGCCTACCTCATAGGTGTCTGGTACCTCACATGGGTACCTAGCCTCACAACCAAATAGCAGAAAGTATGGGGAAAATTTGGTTGTTATCTGCTTTTTGGTTCGCAGACCAAACACTGTGGCCTCCAAATAATCAGCCCACGAGCTTGGCCTGTTCTCTACCAACTTTCTCAAACATCTTTAAAACAGAAA